ATATAAATCTTGTGTAGGCACTTGAGCAATTTGCTAAAACAATATGAGTTTTTTTTCCAGTTCATCGACAACAGTTTTTAGGTTTAATATAATCAATTAATAAGTGTACTAGTGCATTTTAATATTAGATATACAGAAAGTACGAAAGTATATATGAATGGGTGGTAATAATTTATGTTAGGATTTTAGCAGGAGTTTCCAGCTAATTTCCACTGACGACAATATTTATAAAATGATTTTAAAGAAGAAGAATATTCAATCATTGTTATCCAAAACTTTATAAACTGAATTTAAATTCTTATTGGTGGGAGAGAGGTTCTTGAAATAAAAAAGAGAACACCGAAGCGTAAACAAAGTGAGAACTCAAAATCGATAAAACGAGGGAACAATTTGAAAGAAGGCATGGAGACCCTTGAAGAATATAATGAACATAAGACCAGGTGTTCCGGAAGGGTAAGTATCTTCCGTATGAATTATAGGTCACATATAATATGCTACGTCCTCAAAGCGAGAACAGGGTTAGTGACAACAAAACGATACGTATGAGCATAGTAAACAATATCGAACTTCATATCACACAAAACTTGCCAATAGTCTTCATTGAGTTGCATCTTTGAAAACCCTGTATTGTAACCTTGTCCGTCAGCAGTCTACATCTAGGTTATCATGATTAAGTCTTGGAGTTATGGAATCACAGCAACAAGGGAAAGCAGGGATGTTACTATCAAGAAAGAGAAAAATCACAATCGGAACATCAAAATTGTCACGCTAATCAAAGCGTTGTTTTAAGTGGTCTCTTTCCATTATGTTATGAGTAAAGATTGAGGAAAGTGACCGAGGTAGAAAAACCTGTAGTGTCCTTAATTTCAAGCTCGGGAGGGTACAGTATATAAGATCTACGCGGTCAATAAAATTGTTATTTAAAGACAGCATATTGTTGATATATTTGAATGTTAAATTTAAAGACTTGCAATTGGCTGAGGTTTGTTTGTCCTGATTGCTTATCAAATAGATTAAGCCTCGTATGAAAACTAAAAACATCGGCCAGAGGAGAACAGTTTCTTCCCATAGGAATACCTAGCTACAGTCAGCTTACTGATGGAAAGTCTGGACACCGGACCGGATAAAGACCTCAACAAGGAACTCAATCATTCCCACAATTTCAACATCTGATTATTTATTTTAGCTTTTGTAGTGCTTTTCACAAAATATGCTAAAAATTATTTACAACCATGTACTCATATCGCTGTTTGCCCTTCTTTTTGAAAAGAAACCTCTCATAGTAAGAAAACGAAGGCTTTCCTTCTGTTTGGTATAAGGAATGATAGTGTAAAGGGTTGGAAATTAAAAAGTTTGATAGAAGAAACATTTTTTAAGAAGAGGGTGTTCAAGATTGATCAAATGTTCCTTTGAAATATTCAAATTCCACATTCCAATTATTCCACTTACCGAGTATACGGAGTCACAATACGACTGTAACTCTGTTTACATGGTACTAAGTTTGCATAAAGGCTTGGTTGAGTAACAAGATGAGCCCGCGATAAAAGTTATTTACAAGGATTCTGGTGAAATTCCGGAGTCCAATACAAACGACGTACATGTCCGTATCCTTATCATTAATGGGTATTCGGAAATAGAGAAGCGTGATTAGCTAGTATTTCGTCTTTCAAAAAAAAAAGTGAATAGGTAGGGTTACACCTTGGTTATCAAGCATGCTTAGTTCTAAATGGTCACCTTGTCGTAATCTGCTAGCCTCCCTCCGACTCTCTGGACACGTTAGTTTAGGTCCAAATGTAGCTGAAACAAATCATCATGTCCCTATGCTCCGACTGATATCATGCTACATGTGACCACATCGGGGTAGAGTGGGCATTGGAATTTAAGAATGGCGCCTTATTTCGCGTAGCCTCGAAAGACGAGACAGTTTCACTGCGAGGGGGATGCTCTGATTGGGTTTCTGAACTTTTGATGTTTCGAATTTTCCGGACCACAAACTTGGTTGGTTGTGGTGATATCATTGTTTAATGTCGCAGCTTGAAAGTTGTAATGCACTTATATGTGTTACAAGGGTTTTTTGTACTATATTCACTTTTTCAATTTTATGTATTTACGCTGACCTTAAATAAAAGATCGACAAAAGTATGTGTATGCACGTGCCTACTCGAGCCTAAGGCAGCTACGCTACTGGTGTTATTTCTGGTGTATTTGGTTTGTGTTGCGGACCATTCCGACACAATACGTGTCTGTTGCCTGGTTGTTGGACTGAGGTCTATCACGTCTGACCATCTGGTCACACGAATACATAAGTTGTCATTTAGGTCAATCCTTCTGCATCATTTCATATATTTCACTCACATCGTGATTCTTAATTATCAACCATTGTTTACGAAATCGTTCGAAAGTGTTTGGCATCTGAACAATAACATAGCTGTTCAATGTCAAACATGTTAAAATATTGCCTCCGTTCACATCGTCATCGGTATGAGTAACACATCATAACGGGGCCAGGTAAACCTACACACGTTATACACAAAAATACGTGTAATTTGGCTTTTAAAATTATGAACAATTTGATAAATGAATGTGTGGGTCTGGGTTTGATCACGGCGTGGTTCGTCGTCTTTACGCCACGGTACATATATCAATCGTATACATGTATGGAAACACACAAATGACGATCAGGTTTTCAATGAGAATCACGGACAGTCAGGGCAGTCTATAACCAACGCCCCCTTCTTGATCAAGACCAACTTGCTGATGTTTCAAAAAAAAAAACTGTATTGATACAGAATTTTTGGAAACATCAGTTTTATTAAAACTGAAGATGAAGAATTAAGTTGGGATGCATTATTATAATCAATGTATGTTGATATTTTAACACAATTTGTAACTTATTGCTTAGCTTTATATGATCTTTTTGCGACTCTGGGCAGCTACATTGTATTTAGTTTGAACAATATTTTATTTGTAATGTTTGTTTTTTTACAACCACAAACAACGTAGATAAAAAGGTGTTTTTGTTTACAACGATAAACAAATTCATAAAAAAGTAAAAAAAAAAGATGTAAATGTATCAGAGAAATACGTCACTGGACGTTTTACGGGAACACAACCAAACACATGTAATACTAGTGCTGTTTACTACAGACGTAACACACATGGGAGTGTTTAATAAATAGAAGTTCCATCTGTGCTGATTGTTGACGACTCATTTTCAGGGTGAGGCCTGATAGGGAAAACATGTACAGCGATTGTTCAAACACATACCAATGCTGTAATTTAGACAGAACACGCCATTTTTTGTAGATATAATCAGTAAGAGAGTGAAACGAAGAATGGTCACGCCACTTCTGGTATAACATATCTGTATGTCTGAAGTCATGCATGCAATGTTATTTATATAGCTCAATGCCACTTCTGTACAGGTTATCATTTTTTTTATAGATTTCAAAAGGAATAAAACAAAGGCTGAACATTTTTGAACAGCTCACAAAACGCCAACTGTAGTAAAATAACCAATAGTACACGAAGAAAACGTATACTGTTCTTTGGTCGTTGTAGGACCTTTTTAAACAAAACTGGGCACGTGGCGATTTTAAGAATGCAAACTGATAGATACATGGCTTTATCTTGAAGCAGAGCCGTGTGATATGAGCTGATTGCTTTTATTCGTTCACTACTTACTTATATATGTCTACATGTTTAGGACAAACGTTGACCGAGAATTAAAGGTATTTATATGTTTTTAGCATAACGCTTATAAGCAAATAGGTCCAATGTTTATTCTAGGGGAGCTCACATCGGAACGGTAAGGTTGGGTTTGTTTGTGTTATACGTTTTATTTACAGCTATGGTCACTAAAGGACGTGCCAGGTTTGAAACAAGAGTACCCGAAAACAACAACCGACCTGCGGAAAGTACCTTGAACCCGCGACCCGGTGGTGGAGGGATGGTGATTGTAGATAACATCACTGCCGCGATAATCACTCGGCCATCGCGGCTGAGATTCAGTCCTTGGTTACATTGTAAAAATGTGACCAACAAAAAAAGAAAAACAACCCAATATATACATTGTTCTTTATCAGCACTTAAGTTGGATTTCGTGATTTCTCTGCTCTAGAAGAGAAAATATCACAATTTCACGACGAAACAGAGTAAATGTGTTTTGAACAGTTGAATGTCACAGGTTTTTTTTCTCCCTCCGCGTTTTGCTAGTTTTACTATATTTCGCACATAATGTTCCGTTTCTGCTTCTCCTGAGCATTTCGTTATTTTCCTTTTGAGCATTTTTGTTTTTTGTATTAAGTCGGCTAGTCCTAATATCCGTCATGCTAAAGACATGATTAAGATTGACATTTTGACATCACTTTGATACGACGATATTTAAATAACTATCTAAAAATTGAAATGACGCGAAATAAATCCGGATGTTGTTCGGAACGCTTTTGACATTTTAGTCAGACAAGATTCAAAAACAGGTAGGGAACGGACCGTCCACAAGAGACTTACTTCCAGGTCTCCATTTCTCCATAAGTCCCGTACAGGGTAGATATTTATCAGTGGTTAAGGCGTAAATCGCCCTGTATGTCAGTTTTAAGGAGTCTCGCTTTTCACCGCTCCCCCTTTGAGTCACAGCCTGTTCAAATTCATTTTACAATGATTTTTATGACTTAACGGTCAATGACATTACAAATAAGGGATTGAGTTTGAAGCCCTCCGAAAGCAATTAAACATCGGTTAAGGCGTATGACACATTTTCCTGTGTTAAAAAGTATATACAGAATAAAATATCGATCACGTCCAGACTTACGGGATAAGGTGAGCAGGTCAAAAGACGAATATTTGTATTCCAATAATACGTTTGGAATGAACTTGTATTGACCGACTATTTGATACAGGTTGGTCCAAAGCATGCCGTCTCCATCGCTCCACCCCTTTAGCAACCAATAGGCGGGGTTTAATTAAATCCGCCGGAGTGACTACTAACGCCCCCACGCGGTAATCAGCCGAACCAGGTCAGAAGGACCAATAGGTGGCCGGAAATAGCGGTATATAAAAGGTGTATTTGTCATTGAGCATAAGTGTGTCACTTAACATAACAGGCTCACCGACTACATTATATACTACAAGTATGCAGTGCCTCTTTGGAACGGTATTAATTATATACAGCATATGTCCTGGATTGATATCAGGAAATGTCAACAAAATGATCGATTTCTCCAAGTTCCTGAATCCTTGGAAGGTAAGATTCCTATGTTTTTTACTATGCGTACTGCATGTAACATTCGTTTATTGTAACACGTAAGCGATGCTCTCCGTCAGTGTCACATTAGAATTACATTATTTCACAGGAAATATATGTCATATTTCTTCCCAAGTGTTACGTCAGCTTTGGCAGTGCATCCATCAACTCAAGCAAAACATGTAAAACAAACGTATGTGACCGCCGTTTCTGTTAGTCTATCTGTTAAAAGTTGTGGGAGAATTTAACACAATCGTAAGTATAATGACCATCTGGTATAAACAGAGCGAAATGATATTTCTATCTCCGTGGCTCCTTGCTCACATACAGTATATTTCACAGAGAGAGTGGATTATTTCAAACCAGTACTTTGTAGTGCGGACATAGGCAAAGACGATGTGAATATGGAATATTGAGGCATTGACTGATGCACATTGTCTTCATCAAGGGTCCATTTAAATTTGAACCTATCGGGTATCGTGCACTCTCATAGATACCACCTTGAGGAGTTTGGTTTCAGGATCTTGAATAGACTATACTCCAATCTGGATTTTGGGTACTGAAGCGCATTGAAAGTAATTCAGTACATTAAGTTATATAGATGTTAGAGTAGAGTACTGGTTGGGACGCCGTATGGATATAATATTTACATTTCCACTGCACAGAGCCTAGATGTTTCTACTGGGCCCAATGTATGTTATTTCCGTATTACATACATTCGGCTATTGTGACGTCGCTACGCTTATGACTTCATAACTGTAACGTTGGAGATTGCACTGCTCCACTGTCAACTGGTGGCTGTTCTCTGTATGGATTTAACCTGACGTTGAAACGTGTTCCTACTAATATTATGTCTTAATTTCTGCGTGAACTGTAGGTTGATTAACATAGAATGTAAATATAAGTATTGGTTGTCATGTTTTTGACATGCATTGGTGTGTAACATACCAATGCATGTCAAAAGTATGACAACCAATCCTTAAATACTGTAACTTTACAATACTAACACTTCCGACACAATGCTATCGTGACAGTATTTGTTGGTTGGAATTCATTTGACGGTTAGTATAAAGCTTGTGCAGTCGGGAATGTGGATAAACTTCTTCTAAGTAATATACCTTTCTCATTGTCAGTGTTGATTTGGCATTAGAAAATTAAGTATTTGACGCGGCATAATCGAATATTTTGCTAGAGTACTAATCTCTATTAAACCTCCATCCAAACGCCTCATCGTACGTTTGAAAGTTAAAGAATACTGGTTATAAAGCAGGCGCCCGCTCGGGTTCGGATATTTAACCCTTAGTTCATTAATCGCGTACCTAGTGTGTGTTTAACAAAATGTCATTAGTTTAGAATATGGGAAAACATCTGTAAAAACATGAAAAAGCAACGTATAATGCAGTTTTAATTCTACAAGTACTTAAGTTAAGATATTAACATCGTATAAATAAATGCCATACCAACGGTCAGCTTAATCCACCTATATGTACATATTTCTTTGTTAAACTAAATCATTCTCTGTTGTTAACTCTGAGTGATATGCGTGTGTTCATGGTGTTTGTCACGAGCACAAGTTGACCGGAAACTGTCCACGCCATGCCGTGACGTCATGGGAGTATTTTACCCTTGATACAGGATTGGTATTGACGCCAAATAAGATAAGGATAGGACGAACGGCATTCATCGTAATCCTTACCCTCCCTGTAACTGTCTATATTGTAGAATATCTGTTTTTTCCTATAAGATTTTATCACACAGTGTGAAAAAGCGTCGCTGCCTTTTGTTTGCTTGCTATCTGTATTCTGTAAGAGGTTAATTGGCTTGATACTTTTCATTGCTATACTATTGGCGCGAAATCAAGTAAAATTGCCATTTGGCGTTTCCAAATTACCGGCAATAGCTAAAGGGTGATGTAAGAACGTCATCACGCAGGAACAGCACAAGATCTCGATCAAATCTGATTGAACAAGACAACAATTAGAAGAGGCACCAAAACAAATGGAAAACAGCACAAACCCCCACCAAAAACCGGACGCCGACCATCGCACTCATTACCCCATAGTTCCCGTATAATGCTAACAGCGTCGTCATTTTACATGTGAACATGACTAAATCCTTTGATTCATTTGCGAAAAAACCCATCTCCGTTATTGTTGTGAAACGATTCCGTTTGATTGACGATCTCTACTGTAAGGATATGTAGGGGTCACATTTCTCTAGCCACAAAAACAGCACATAGCTTGATCTTCCGGTGAGAAGTACTCAGCCTACCGGATGTGACGGCATTCAGTCATTCATGATTCAGGGAAGAGGATTATACTGGACCAAACCACTGATGGTGTACGAGTTTACCAGTAGGTAACATACGTATCAATTGTTTAGTACGCTTTGATAGCTGACAAAATAAACCAGCATTCGGGTATAAACACAAACTAACAGTATATGCTGCGTTGTGAAGTTCTGTGTACCAATAGTCATCGAGGTAAGTTTGTAGTGGTACATGACATGGTCTCCGAACGCTAATATCGAGATACAACAAAGCATTGTTTAACAGGAAGTCTCCTCTCTTTCCTCTGACGAAGCTTCTGAATGTGAAACTATAAAGTGTCTAGAAACATATGTAATGCAGTTTTCTTTCAACAAACATTTCTAGAAGATATGAAATGTAGTTACAAAAAATAGGAGTTTAGTTTAGGAGAAAGACTAAGAGAGTCATTGGATAATAGAGGAGTACTGATAACCAGAGGGGTATAGGCAAATAAAGGAGAGAAATTAAAAAGGGATAGAGAAGAAGGACAAAGGCAATGGGAGGGACGCAAGCAAAGATAGGGCAGAGGTAAAGAAAGATATACAGGTAAAAATAGGGATGAGAGTAATCAGGGATATAGAAAAAGAGAGTGACAGAGGTAAAGAGATGGATATTTATAAAGAGAGAAAGACATAGACCAAGAGAGGGGCACAAGTCAGGAGAGAGCAACTATAAAGATAGGGCAGAGGTAAAGAGAGGGATGTGAAGAGCGAGATGAGAGTAAACAGAGGGCCACAAGTAAGGAGAGAGTAAAGATAGGGCAGAGGTAAAGAGGGATGTGAAGAGCGAGATGAGAGTAAAAAAAGGAGGACCACACGTAAGGAGAGAGTAAATATAGGGCAGAGGTAAAGAGAGGGACGTGAAGAGCGGGATGAGAGTAAACAGAGGACAACACGTAAGGAGAGAGTAAAGATAGGGCAGAGGTAAAGAGAGGGATGTGAAGAGCGGGATGAGAGTAAACAGAGGACCACACGTAAGGAGAGAGTAAAGATAGGGCAGATGTAAAAAGAGGGATGTGAAGAGCGGGATGAGAGTAAACAGAGGACCACACGTAAGGAGAGAGTAAATATAGGGCAGAGGTAAAGAGAGGGATGTGAAGAGCGGGATGAGAGTAAACAGAGGACAACACGTAAGGAGAGAGTAAAGATAGGGCAGAGGTAAAAAGAGGGATATGAAGAGCGGGATGAGAGTAAACAGAGGACCACACGTAAGGAGAGAGTAAAGATAGGGCAGAGGTAAAGAGAGGGATATGAAGAGCGGGATGAGAGTAAACAGGGGACCACACGTAAGGAGAGAGTAAAGATAGGGCAGAGGTAAAGAGAGGGATATAAAGAGCGGGATGAGAGTAAACAGAGGGAGTAGATAAAGAGAGGGACAGAGGATAATATATAGNATGTAAAGAGCGGGATAAGAGTAAACAGAGGGAGTAGATAAAGAGAGGGACAGAGGATAATATATAGAGAGAGAGAGAGAGAGAGAGAGAGAGAGAGAGAGAGAGAGAGAGAGATAAAAGGACACGAGCACAAAGAGAGGCAGGTTTATATAAGGATTAACTTGCTTCATTTCAAGATAGTTCTGTAGTATGACATAGGAAGCGTAGGTCCTTGTCCCGTGTAAAAGTCCTACAACACGATAGGTTTTTTCTTCAATAGAGAATATCAAAAAGAATAATTTGCATCCGTTTGTTTTTTTAATTATCACCAAAAGTTGTTTATTTGAGTAAAACATACCCTGACAAGATCTGAAATTTAACGTGTTCCATATAGCTAGACCGACTTCCACACACCTCACAGATTATATTTAGGCCCCAGCAGTAGGTTATTTACGGTATTATACGACAATCAAATGCATTGATTATTTAACTATGGACACTCATTTTAGACACAATTACAAATTTATGTCATTACGAGGCCATTAGCGGGCCTGTATGGAGTACTAACGAGTGACGAGGGGCTGCACGCCGGACAGATGGCGGGAATCTGACCAGTAGCAGGACGTCTCTGTGGACTTGTCTGATATGCAAATAAATATTGTCCAACACAATTAGTTTATAGATTTATGCGTTCGTTGTATGCGTACACCATTCGAGGGTAAAGCTGTGACGTAATACTAGGCATCTGGCCCCGGCACGTGAAATGGTGACACATATAACAGATATCGCGCTCATCACACAGCTGTACCTAGGGGTTTCGCGAGCCGTCGATATTACCACAGCCAGTAGTCCACATTTCGCAATTATGGAAATTATTATTAAACGATGACCAACCATCACGAGTTGTAGAAGATTTTTCCACAGCGTTTATTTCATGTCAGGAAAGCTATATTTTAAGCATCATGACTATACAACATTCAAGTTTACGTTTACAACGAGCAACATATCAGCCCAATAGAGCTACCTTGTCCCTAACGATCATCCAGTCCAGTTCCTCTGCAACAGAACGAGTTTAACGTAGTCTGCAATAAAACGTTAAGGCTGATGTCTTCATAAAAATAGGCTAATGGCTTTGTGGTCTTTATTGTTTCGACTGGCAATACTAGTTTTGATTTAAGGCTGATATGCCTCATTAAATTTAACTTTGTCCAGTTGACTTCGTATAACCTACGAATGCCAAATGAAAGCAGTAAAGTAGTTACAATGTGATATGCTTTTAATTGATAAATTCTACGTTTTATACTCCTGCTGGAATGAACACAAATCGGCTACACCACTTTGCACGAATTTCGCCTGGGCAATTATTGGCAAAATCAAATTTCCACGGCAATTTTTGCTTTTTCAGGAACTGCTGAAGTACCATGACAAACTATGACTGTCCTTTGTGTCTTTTGTTGGGCTTAAATCGAAATCGGCGGTTCTCAAAATCAAATTTGTCACTAGACCGTCTTTAGTTGTGTTTTTATATTGCGTATGAAGCTTGTTAACGGTATTTTAGGGCGGTACCCAAGAACTCGTGATAATAATTGATACATATTATCAACTTTGTCAAAAGCCGTGCATTTTCCACTATTTATGTATCGTTATTTCTAGCGTAGGACAAAAAACTCTAAGATCCCCTTAGTATTGTGTACGTGTACACGTGGTTGTTACAAAAGAGAACGAATAAAACCCAACATACCAGTAACATTTCATTTTCATAGGTAGGCGCCAAGATCCCTCTGGATTTTCTTGTTTATTAACTACTTTTTAATTAATTAAATTAAGAAAATTACTCGTGATGTGTATAATATTGATCAAACGAAAACCAGTGGGAGTCCATCTTAACTGTTTATATTTGTTACAGGGATCAGACATGCCTGTATGCACTGACCTAAGCAAGCCATGTGACATGGCGATAGGCCTGATGCAAAACGGAAGTCTATCACAAATCACAACCGAAGAAGAAATGTGCGCATGTCCCGGAACAAGCAGCTGTCCTAGAGGTTGGAACACAGACCTGAAAAAGTCAATCCGAATGGAGCTGAAATCCACAGGTATACCACTAACTAAGCCAAGGATATATATATAGGAATACTTTAAAAGGATGATTTTCCCATAGAAAATCGTGCAAGGGACATTGCTCAAGGCTCGTTGATAATTCTTTCAATGTACACTATTTGATTGTGAAGTGTATCACTTTGCACCATGGGTCGAAACTTTTTAGTATCTCTGAAAATGTCAATGAGTTGTCAAGATGTGATCCTTCAATGAGACTAATAAAGCTAATCCAATAGGAAATTGCAAGTAAATCGGCCTGCTTTGTGTATTTTCCTATACGATTTCTATATGATGGCATAACATTTAACATGGAAATTACCACATGTATCTGAATACTTAATCATTTTAGTACACATGATTAATATCTTTAAGAGAATGTAGTAGGTTCGTTTTTATCAGTGTTTGTTTTTGAAGCATATGGCGATCACGTGGAATGCTTCTGAAAATGATGGACGGAGTTTGTTGAAACAACCAGCTTCGGTTAGGCTGTAACGATGTGTAAAATACTACATTATAACGATATTACACACTTAAAACCTATATTAATAACGCACTATTAACGTCTCGGGCAGTACCCAGCTCAAAATAGGAACTGTCATATGGAAGAGCCACTCTATAACAACCTACTGAATTCTATTCCAGGTTCACAAGCCCTGATGCAATTCAACTACTGTGAACACATTCCTGTTCTTTCCGTTTGTAACGGAAATGAAATTGCGCTGAAAACTCTCGAGATTGGACTATTTCCAGAAGAAATTTTGGAAAACAACTGTCGATGTCCAAACGGTCAGCATCTTTTCCTGAAGAAAAGTAGAATGATTCGCCATCGGCGATACCAGGAATACGTGTGTAGTATGGTGAGTTCGATCTCCATAACAACGGTACAGCTAGAAAAGGGTACTGGGTTACGTTCTTTCACTATTATCAATGGGTTACGTTATTTCACTATTATCAATGGGTTACGTTATTTTATTATTATCAATGGGTTACGTTATTTTACTATTATCAATGGGTAACGTTATTTTACTATTATCAATGGGTTACATTATTTTACTATTATCAATCGGTTACGTTATTTTACTATTATCAATGGGTTTTTTTTACAATTATCAATGGGTTGGGTTATTTTACTATTATCAATGGGTTGGGTTATTTTACTATTATCATTGGGTTACTTTATTTTACTAATATCAATGGGTTGGGTTATCTTACTATTATCAATGGGTTGGGTTATTTTACTATTATCAATGGGCTGGGTTATTTTACTATTATCAATGGGTTACATTATTTTACTATTATCAATGGGTTACGCTATTTTTTCTATTATCAATGGTCTATTTTACTACTATAAATGGGTTGGGTTATTTTACTATTATCGATAGGTTGGGTTATTTTACTATTACCACTGGGTTAGGTTATTTTACTATAATCAATGGGTTGGGTTATTTTACTATTATCAATGGGTTACGCTATTTTACTATTATCAATGGTCTATTTTACTGCTATAAATGGGTTGGGTTATTTTACTATTATCAATAGGTTGGGTTATTTTACTATTATCAATGGGTTGGTTTATTTTACTATTATCAGTATGTTGGGTTATTTTACTATTATCAATGGGTTGGTTTATTTTACTTTTATCAATGGGTTGGGTTATTTTACTATTATCAATGGGTTGGGTTATTTTACTATTATCAATTGGTTGGGTTATTTTACTATTATCAATAGGTTGGAATATTTTACTATTTTCAATGGGTTGGTTTATTTTACTATTATCAATGATATGGTTTGTTTTACTATTATCAATGGGTTGGGTTATTTTACTATTATCAATGGGTTACGTTATTTTACTATTATCAATGGGTTACGTTATTTTACTATTATCAATGGGTTTGGTTATTTTACTATTATCAATTGGTTGGGTTATTTTACTATTATCAATTGGTTGGGTTATTTTACTATTAATAATGGGTTGGGTTATTTTACTTTTATCAATTGGTTAGGTTATTTTTCTATTATCAATGGGTTGGCCCATACTATGGTGCTGCCGTAAAGCATACAACAGATCTTACAACTATTACCTGTCGTAGTATTTTTTCCTCGCATTTGATCAACGTAAACATAAAATATATGGTAAAGTGGATTAAAAACTTGCTGCACATCGAGAAAAAGTACATTCCAAGACCCCTTCATTTGTAAATATGTTCTACATCACGCAAAGAAACCCTTAGTCGCTGTTTAGGTTACAGCAAGTCGTTAGGTTACAGTCGTTAGGTTAGTCAGTCGTTTGGTTACAGCCAGTCGTCAGGGATTTTGTTTGAAATGTAGGCACAGTACTTATTATTACCCAATAGTCTATATAAATTATAATTAGTCATTTTTGACTGTTTCTGGCCTTTTGTCCAATTTCGGCTGTAGGGGTGAAACAGTCAAAATTATTACCCAATAGTCTATATAAATTATAATTAGTCATTTTTGACTGTTTCTGGGTTTTTGTCCAATTTCGGCTGTAGGGGTGAAACAGTCAAAACTGTTTTCCCGGTCAGAGCGAACTGTTACCCGGCGCGAATTCGATGCGCAGAAATCACCCCTCGAGAGCCCCGTTCAAGCGTTTCGATGACCGCGACTCAGTGTTGTTTACGCAGACGAAGCAATGCAATGGCGAGTCATCATTATATGCAGCATTGATACTGATATGTATTTGGTAATAAAACAATTGTTTCATTGTTTTATTATTTGTAATACATTCAAAATTGATGTTAAGCATATTTGTTTCAATGGCTATTTGGGGAACAGTCAAAACTATCATCCCGAGGTAGGGGGAAGCCCGTTGGAACTGTTACATGTTGTCTTAGTCTTCGTATGACTGCTGCTTCAGACAAATACCCCGCGCAACTCTGGTATACATGTACATATGTTTACAGTTTCGGTGGCATGTGATCCCCTAGGTGCCGTCAAAAGTTGGTTGGAAGATGACGTATAGGATTTAGTCAACTCCTAAAGTAATTGGCGAGGCATACAGTAGCAGTATTTCTACCAGAACATTTTTCTCCTACGAGTCCTTAATGTACAAACCAACATTAAACATCAATTAAGGAATGCAGATTGTGTGAGTTACATACATGCTATTGATTTTAGCTCACGGAGTGCTGAGATGGCCGAAATGGATCGTTAATGATATTGACTGAGGAGGGGTGAATTTCTAATATCTGCTGTTGTAAATTTGTTACAGGCGGATTGTGACGTCAACAACAGTGGAAGCCCAATGTGCCTTCACTCCCTGAGAGGCGGCTTCGGTGTGTACACCACTACCTTCCATTGTCAGTGCGGAGAGGGGTTCGAATGCACCACAGACAGACGCTCGGCGATCGGACGACTGGACATATATGGCCAGTGTGAGGTGATGTGATTCTGATGGACAGAGAAGAATGGACGCACACAGCTTATACCTGGTGGTTCTAGTGAAATAACTAAGGACACTTGACATACAGGGCATCTTTGTGGATAACAACAATGACTTGTGTGGTGTGTGTATATATATCCCGGGGTATGACCTAACCACTATACGTGTTGTGTATACAACAGTACACAGTTTGATGTCGGTTAATTGTGATGACAACCTAGCTTACTGGGCTGTGTCACTTATCATATATATTTTGTTTTACTGTTTAAATGGGGATTAGTTCGACATTAACAGGACTTAAGCTTTAAAACTTAAAAAAGGTAACAATGATAAAACATCATTGATGCACAAAAGAGACTGTGACCTCACACCCATTATACCTTGAAATCCAGCGCACGTGCATTGTATTGAAGTGATTTAATGATTTATTTAACATTTACGTCAGTTATAATTAAGTATTTAAAATACCTAAGTGTTAAAATACCAAATCATGAAATGGACCACCTGTCTATAATGACTAGCTGTCTAAAACTTCCATTTATAGATACCCTGAATGGTGTTCTCCATATTGGCGGGGTTTATCGACCAGCTTTAATGACATCGGTTTGGAAGGGGGATACTTTTTTAGTTCAGGGATCACATACGACACATATGGCAGAATTATGGTATTAAAACATCAACGAATCTGTAAGACTACACAGGATAATGATCCAAGGACTTAAAAATGACGTCCACAAGAGGACAAATAGGTCTGTATACGTATCTTCGCCTCTTATAGGATGGTGTTTACAAATGAATCTCTAAATTAGGTGACCTTTCTTGGAATATTTCATTACATTTTACTCCTATTGTGACAGGTGTCAATGCTCTGTCCTTGAACAAACTCGATAGCCTGTTAGCATTACAAGTAGGGGCTTAATTTGTCTATTTTGTGATCTATATGGTCACATAGAAACCGTTATGTATTTAAACATATTTTAACAGTTCGACTTTGAAAGGTGGTCAAGGTAGATAATATACATTTAAACAAACTTGGTAGTTCTTCAAATTAACAAACAAGATCCCATTAATCTAAACTTTATGAATGTCTAGGAGAAATCGGTGAAGATTTACAGGTATGACCCCTGTGACCTTTAAAGGTTGGTCAAGATAATTTGTTTTACAAGCTCGTTTGATAATTTTCAAACAGCTGACCCCTGTGACATTGAAAGTGGGTCAGGGTTATTTATTCGAACAAACTTGATTGTCCTTACTAATTACTCCTTAATAAATCTTCAGAAGTTGTTGTTTGATGATTTTAACACATTTAACAAGCGTGACCTTTAAAATAGGTAAATTCTAAAAAGTATGATATGACCTCATCCCACCATACCATAAGCCAAATATATTCATGCTGAATCTTATGCATATTTAGACTTGAAGCTGTGCAAAGCACAGACCAATTATCAGACAAGCCATGTGTGATTGAAAACTGCTTCTCCCACAACCATTTTAGGTTACCTCTCTCCCGACTAATTGGATAAATATGCTAGGTGTTTGTAAACGTTTTTGGTTACCCACTAGTTGGTCAATCATCTAATTATGACGTCATCTTCTATTGTGATGTCATAGTTTCGTGGCAATTCCCCGAACGGCAACAGGAATTTTCTAGATATGCTATCAGAACGTTGTGGCAGAAAAAGGTCCCTAAAGTGGTGATGGTTTATTATCATGTTAATCTTACTCTCGGTAAACCTCGTGTCTTTATACAATCTGAAAACTAACTAACTCGGGTAAGATAAGCATGATATCCAGCCACCACTCGGTGGGAGCTTCTATATCCCATTTTGGCGAAATAACGTACATGTACATTTTGTAGGTAGTTCGAAGTTTGGACATTCGTGGAGTACCGGTATGGACAACGTGTCGCTTCAGCTTCAGTGTCTGTATCCTTAGTGCTGACGCATTATGAATATAATATTCAATAATTATATAAAAAGTATATCGATTTAAGAATTTCAAATCAAATTAGACTTTATTGGTATTGAAACATTAGATATAAATTAATTAGTCAGTACGGAAAAGTTGGGACCTACAAAATGTATATTGAGGGACGACTCGGGTTGTGAAATGTTGTTCCCGATATGCAAACACACATAAACAATTAAGATATTATGTTGCAAATTGTTTGCGTATCGAAGAACACTATAATGGCGTTTCTGATTGAATTATATTGATCATATGACAGGGAAACAAACGGCGTGCTATCCTCACTGTTGTTCTCCGGATCATATTTCCCTAATTCGAGCCTCTCTGAAATATGAAGAAGGGACATAACGTAGTAACAGAAAGCTGACTAAAACGTTGGCGCTTAAGTCTGAAGATCTCTTATTGCCGTGTTATTGGATTATTTCGACATTATACAATTTGTATTTCCCGTGTGGTAATGAAGAACATGACTCATTGTTTCCCCGAGATTAACCATGTTTCACTAAGCACATCAAAGGATCATGTTCTCTTGTTACCACAAGGACAATGCATGCATAAGTACATGTGGACTAGAGTGTTACTGTAAGTATACGAACTGGACGTTTATTGTATTCCCTTCCTTGACTGATAAAGGGAAGTTAATCTTGAGCAAAGTGTTCATGAATGTCCTTGAATTTCACGTATTTCACGTACTTTGTACGAGATTCACTCCCTTTCAGCAGTCCATGCAAGCAACGACAAAATAAATAAATAAAAACAACACGATTACTTCGCAGTAGGTACATTTTATCAGAGACTTGGTCCGGATTTGGTCTTTTCACAACATTTCTCTAGTTTACAAGGTTCGGATGTAGCCTTTTCACAACATACATTTCTCTAGTTTACAAGGTCCGGATGTAGCCTTTTTCAAAACATTCCTCTAGTTTACAAGAAATAGTACTAATGTACCCATTCGTATCGTTATGAAAGGAAACAGTTGTCATTTCAAAATACATTTGTAAAGAGATTTTGACTTGATCTGAAGATCCCAGTCAACATGAGCCTTACATCGAGGAACATTTGATGACGTCGAGAAGAGACGTCTAAAGCTAGTAGTATATACGTCTCTGCATCAAGGACATATGACGTGTATATTACAATATATATAAATCAAAACGATTTACTGCATTATTGTTGTTTAACCACGTTCTCGGATGCAATACATGGACTTTTTGAAATTCAGACTTCTAATATACACCATAACACTTTTGTTGAAAGCGTGGGAAATAAGCTAAACGAATACAAATCACCGAATATTGTTGATAAATGTCAAACGGTGAAACGGTTATCTCCCTTACTCTGTTAAAACAACATTTTAAGGAAAACGCGTAAAAACGCACAGGACGTAACGTTTTGACGTAGCTAGAACTCGGAGAGATGACGGATGCAGTGCCATGGCTGCAGCTGACGAGCGTGCATGGTATACCTACCATTGTTTCAGCGACTGAAGAGTTGAATTCTTCTATCTACAAACATAGAATATGATATGCATATGGACGAGTTGAATTTTTGATGAAAGTCTACAAACAAGTGCAAATAATTCACTATAAAAAGAGGATTGGCATATATACCTTCAGTATGTATGTAACAATGGCTAAGACGGAGCAAGGAATAACAAAATAAAACATGTATAACTCTAAGAAGAAATTGCGAAAGTTGCTGCACACCAAATATTTTTTTATGAAAATGACTAACTGACAGTCAAACAACCTCGAGGAAACGGATCCTGCATACTTGAATTCTAACGTAACTGTATGGACCAAATTTGAGGAATCCATTGGTAGGGCAATTAACTCTAGTATTGGAAATGTTATTATAACTGGTGGTTTTAACTTAAATTTATTGCAACGCAGTCATAATTTTAAATATTTTGATAAAATAATGTACACTTACGGACTTACGCAGTTAATTACTGAATGTACGCATTATACTGAACATTCGACAGCCTTAATAGACGTTATATTGGTAAATAACGATTTTATAATAGATCGGTCTTATGTAGGGGAATCTTCCTTGACCAACCAGTAAGATACCATTGTCCCATCTATGCAACTCTTAATATTGCTCAACATTCAACCGATTCGTACCGAAGGGAAATTTGGCTTTATAAGCATGGACATTTTGACAAACTAAGAGAACTATTTAGAAATGTCGGATTGGCCTCAAGTATATGATGCTAATATCGATCTAGCATGCAAGCGTCTAACTGACCTCATCGATTCCGCTTCTTCTTCGGCTATCCCTAACAAAACGGTCATTATGAGAAAACGTGATCATCCATGGATGAACAAAAAAATCAGAAAAATTAATATTAAAACGTAAAAAAATCACAATAAGGCTAAACTTACTGATAGCCAATCTGACTGGTCTATTTTCAGACAAACTCGTAACAAGTGTGTAAATGCCATTAGACAATCTAAAGAATCTTATTTTAACGGTTTGTCATCAAAATTATCTGATTTAAGACAATGCAACAAGTCATAGTGGTTAACTGTAAAACTCTTCATGAACAATAGTGGTAAATGTGGATAAATACCAACGATTTTTCATGATAATGTCTATTACGAAACTGATGTTGATAAAGCTAATGTTTTTAATTTGTATTTTTCAAGTCAATCCTTTGTGGATAATTCAATGGTTATGCTTCCTCCACTAATAGAATTCCCTAATCGTATTTTTTGTCTGAGTAATATAAATATATCATGTATTGATGTTAAGGATGCCTTACTCAATTTGAAAACTGGTAAAGCTGTAGGACCAGATCTTATTAGTCCCAAAGGGCTCAAGGAAGCTGCAACATCACTTGCTGAGCCACTATCTATATTTTTTAATAAATCCTTACCACAAGGAATATTTCCATCATCGTGGAAAGTAGCAAATGTTTTACCTATATATAAAAAAGCCGTAATAATGTTAAAAACTATCGACCAATTTCACTTTTAAGTATAATTGGTAAAGTGTTCGAGAGGTGCGTTTATACACATGTTCATAATTTTCTTCTTGATTTGAAAGTAATAACAAAATATCAATCAGGTTTTCCACCTCTATTAACCAATTATTAAGTATTTCCAACGATTTTGTTAAGGCATTAGATTCAGGTAAAGAAATAAGAGTAGTACAACACAGCATTCAAGCTTCAGGTACTGTCAAATGGCGCGATGAGTCCCAAAACGATCGTAAACGGCGCTGACAAAAAAAACAAATAGGCATGGAACGTTAACGTTAGAAGTGTTAGATCAGAGGAAATGGATGTAGTTTACAGAATTATAAACAACTATCAGCCGCACACCATTCTAAAACCGAATACTTATTTAGGCAAACGTACCGAAGTTCAAAGATTATTGATCAAGGTGCACCGAAATGACCGAACATTTGAGACCGGGCATGCCGGAGAAGGCTGTTAGGGAAAACTTAGTATCATATTAGTCGCTACTATTGACCTTGCATGGAGCAACATATGTAATCCGGAGGAGTAGTGCCACTCTAGACCACTGAGTGATGACATCGTATTCTCATAAAAGTAGAAGATGACGGCCTAGAGCAATCTGAATCTTGACGACCTCAGCCTAAATCAATACAATAATATGATTCTCACTTCCAACACCATTTTGAACACCAACACTCCATGTATTTGGCTGCAGTCAACCGGACTCCAGACACTGTACCGTGAAAACGACGACGTCAAACTACTTGTCCGCCGACCTGCTGTTCTTCCACTCATCCCCTTAGACCGCATAGAAGACGTCTGGTTCCAAACCCTTGAAGATGCTGATGATGCTGACATACCACATCCCTTGCTGCTTTTCACAGACTTCGTCACAGAGCTGGAAACACTTCTCAACAGAAGGACCTCGGACTACCAACCATCTGGAAGCTTTGCACGGAAAACTGAAGAAAAGAGAACGTGAATGACATCAACCGGATCAAGAGAGATGCAGGAGGCACTACTCAACCCCGAAAGAAGAGTAACACACGCATCGACAGACGTCTGGCCACCATGAACGACCGTTATCAGACTGGAACTATCGACATGATGACCTACGCCGATTCAGCATCACAGCTTCTGCATCTTGGATAGAATGTTTTGTGCTAGAGACTTAAGTGATATATATAGAGAATGTGATTTGTGCAAGAAACTTCAGCTTCATTTAGTGGTTTAGTTTATATTTTTATTTAATAATTAACTTTTAGTGCTGTTTTAAATGTGTATTACTGTTATATGTTTGAATAGAAACTTTATGTTATTGCTGACATTAGTATCAATGTGGCTTAAATTAAGGAATTTTATTTTTTCAATTTGTAAATATTAATATTTAATGACTATTTTCTATTACTTAGTGTTGTATTAAGTGTGTATTTCAGCTATATGTATGAATAAAAACTTTCTATCCATTATATATTTGACTTCAGTATCATATCTACAAATTGAGTTGACATTGTTAGTTGAGATGGGCTATAACTAAACTTCAAAGGATTTCCTATACACATTCCTTTCAATTCTCCAGAGTTCTCCAGGTCCGAAAAGCAGGAAGTCAGGCGGCCGTGATTCCCTTCCTATATGACCGCGGGCACTATATCCCTACACAGGTGTTTATATCAGGTGTCTATGACACCGTCCGGTCAACTGTCGTGTAGGGGTGCACTGGGCCGCTGTCCTCTGAAAGGTAAGTAGACAAAACAGTTACAATTTAGAACTAATCTATAATTTGTTACATACAATCTACAAGCGTGATATCATTTACAGTTTTTTGATGTAGTTCGATGTTAATCGAGTTCGAACATCTCAGAACATTTTACCTTTTATCCATATATCTACAATGTATGTTACAGAACGTATTATGAAATAATACCGACAACAGTCACACACAGAATGTTAATGCGATATGATTATTTAAATGAATGAGAATTATTGACGACAGGAAAGTATTTTCGGGTTTTATTTCAGAAGAGCTTACTTTTTTAATTATTGAGAGAAAATCAAAAACATTTTGAAACAACATTCATTTCTCTGTTGGTATTTTTTTGGACTTATCTTAATATCTAAACATTGTCACTACGATAACTTACTAATAAAGTAAAACGTCTGATCCCTTTATTTCTTACAGCCAGCCAAATGAAGCGCAATAAGACAGTATGGTTCTTGTTCATCAGCATCGCGCTATTCATTTGCCGTCCGTCTGACGGTCAGTTTCTTGGTGGTGGCAGTGGTGGGTTCAATACCTTCCCCGGTACTCGAGGCCAGACGCCTGCATTTCAGGTCAACAGTGCCCTAGTTAACAATTACGACGGAGGGACTGCTAACCAAGTTGGACAGAGAAGATACCAGGAGTTGGTCAAGTACACACCATACTATGTTGACGAGGAGAGAACGCCCGGCTTGTCAAGTATGACAACTATTTACATACACCAATTCATTTCCTCGTTTGCTATTACTTATTCTACTCAAGTAACATTCATCAAGTTCTTTTTTGACCATAATCATTGCATTTTATATGAATAATGTTTTCCAACAAAACTAGTATCCCAATTAATTGGTATTTAAAAGTTTCCTTTCAAAGAAATACCTCCGCTGACCTTTTCCCATGTTGTAACTTGATTCTATACAGCTTTTGATCGTTTGCTATATGCAAAACGTTTTTTTTGTGTGATTTTGCAGTCGTCCGATTTCTCTACACATATTGAATCTAAGGTGTTTCAATGTCCCTTTTTAAAGTTTCAAGATTTTATTAAAAAAAAATATGTCGGAAACAAATGTTGATTGATATATCCAATCTATATTACAGTTGCAACTCTATTGCTGCTTGGCCTACTGTACGGTATAATCAGTATGACGTCGGCAAATCAATCGGACATGACGGTCACCATGCTCAGTGTTGGTATGGGTGCCTATCTTGGATATGGGTACGTACACAATATATTACAGCAAACGTCAATTTGTTGTAAAGTACTGCTAATAATGCAAAAGGCTTTTACTAATTATTTATCTCCTTTTATTTTCATATTTAAAAAGTTAAAATTCAGATTAGGTCTTTCATTAAGTTTTTTGTTTTCATTACTAATAAATGAAAATTAAGATTTGAAAAACATGTTGTCTTCAAGCAGTATAAGAGGTATTCAAAACGTTATCTCAGATATTCTTAACAACCCCTTCATTCATTTGTTGTACAAGGAGCGAATATTTTGAAAATTGAAGACCCTTTTGTTTCATCTCAATCATATATGATGATGACTATTTTGATCCTGACGTGAGCCTGAGTAAGAATGATATATTCGCAACATATTTCCGGTACATTAAAGAAGACTGAGACATCCATACACCTATTTACCCGTTATAATATTTCGTTTTTGTTGATAGTTTTGGTGGTGGTAGAGGGAGAAGAAGAGGTAGAGGAGGAGGTAGAGGAGGAGGAGGCGGCGGCGGCGGCGGCGGCGGCGGCGGCGGCGGAATGGGTGGAGGAGGAGGAGGAGGCGGCGGCGGAATGGGTGGTGGAGGAGGAGGAGGCGGCGGAATGGGTGGTGGAGGAGGAGGGGGAGGAGGCGGCGGCGGCGGCGGATGAGGGATATGATAAATCCAGAAGACAGAACTATCATGATAAAGATACCTCTTAGTACTTGTTATCTACTGAAATTACTACCGACACTATTGTTTGTGCTCAGGAAAGTTTTATAATTTTGTTTCGATTTATTGGAGGAATTGTTCCATATCTTTGCTTGAAGGAATCGGTATAGGAAACTGCTAATAAAATGTTTAAAATAACATCGTTTTAGTGTTTTTTTCACGGCATTAATTAAGGATTATTTATACTCCATTTCCTTTATGATTTAACGACCAACAACTGTGACAGTTCTCCATCAGTTGTCTTATCCCGAAATGACATAACACTATTCTTGATACTCTCTTTATTGTTTGTATTTATACTCTATATTGTTTACAACATTTAATATATAGTCTCAATGTTGTCTGTGGCATTCCACGACATGTTGTGACTGTCCTATGCAGCCACTAGAACTATTATCGCTATCTTTTGACTTTAATATGCAACACAATTGATACTATCATATGCAGACAGGACTTTTGTCTGCCCATGACTTTTCAAAAGGCTAACGTCGTTTTTTACTTAAAACTTTATCAGTTGCAAAATCCATAACACAATCATCCTCTTGCATGACCACGCACATATTCATTCAGTTTAAATATTGACTCATGAATCCAATATTTTGAAAATATTTACAAGACACCACAAACGAGTTAGAATTCGATGTCATCAGCCAAAGGTCAAAATCACTGTAACTGTGACTAGAAAACGAACACGTGCTTGGGATAAAAAAAAATACGGTATAAGCATTCAGGCCTTAAAATGATATGCTTCAGATTTGTACGGTAGAGATCATTAAATGTAAAATTTACACAATCTTTACCACAGACAGATGGTTAAATACATTACTCAGATTCAGTTCAGCTGACACCAAGGTAACTATGCGAACCATCCATCACGAGGTGAGACCTACTTTTGACGGTATCATTCGCGCACCCACTCATTATGTTGGATGGTACGTAAGGCGGTGTCGTACCAACTACATGTATTTGTTACAGAATTCACGTAGGTTTCATAAGCTCTGAGACCGCATCCTAGTCCGATCGTTATTTTCACATTTCAGCTCATATATCTTCCGGAATCCCGAAATATCAACGAAACTGTTATTCGAACTCAAAATCGATCGGAAAGAATGATAACAAGGAAGCCATTTAAAAAATACGATGATAATTAGATCTGGTGTTCCGGAAAGGTAAGCCACTTCTGGTTCATCGATATACCTCCAATGTAAATCTGAGTCACATCCGGGTATTGTGTTATACTCAACTTGAATAACAACGAACCGACTAGGTACACTTATGAACGTTATTAAAAACATCTACTTTCATATCGTCAAGGAGATAGAATATATATTTTCCGGTGAAAGCATGGTGGCGACTCTAAAATTTGCCATCCTTTACATCATCCTTTATCTTCAAGGATTTAACGTTTGAATGTGATTTCAAGTTTTTATCAGGGGGAATTTGTTATTTATGACGTCAAAAGTATTATGAGCATTCCATACCTGACTTATAAGCTGATAGAAGTCGTTAGGATTTAATGTTTTGTTTTAAGTAAAATAGCATTTTCATGACAGCACTTTCCCGTGGTAGCGGCAATGTGGCTCACACTGTTCAGTCGATCACAAAGCCACCAATACCAACACAAGTATTCTTTCATTCAGTAAAGAACGGGAATTTGAGAGTTTCACCAGGTGATATGCCCTGACCGGAGATTTGATGCTTTGTCAATTCCAAGAATGATGTACCTAAAAAGTAATATTTTCTCACTGTCTTTTAAAAGCTGAACAAATGATGACAACGTCACAGGAAAAAAGACTGGAACCTTGAACCGCAACAAAGAATTAACGTCCAGAGGGCAATTTCCCTGAGTTCTGAAAAGAAAGAAATTAAAAAGAAGTGACCTTCCCTCAAGGCGTAGACATGAATATGAATTCACAAATATTGTGAAGAGAAGTGTTGAGCTGTAACTTAACAAGCATAAATAATTCCTAGAGAGACCTATAACGCACACGCATGAAACAATGACGATATTAATGCAATGCTCTGTTTTGCTATCGTGAAACAAAAAAGAACCTTGACAGGGAAAGTATTAACTTAATATATTAGTCATGCCTAAATCTAATGCAGACATTCTAAGAGAAATGACAAGCCTGACCTGTCGACAAGAAACAAACTGCGAAGTATGCCAATTCTACAACAACTGAAGTACAGAAAAACTTCAGAGCTTTCCTAAAAACGAATGACTAAAGCTATAACTAATGACAGACTGCTTTGAAAATGCGTGCAATGTGTGCTTCACAAACTAAAGGTGCTTTGTTTTTACTTTACAGGTTATACATTTCTCCAAAGCAGTGGCGCGTTATACATGCTTTGTTTTTACTTTACAGGTTGTACATTTCTCCAAAGCAGTGGCGCGTTATACGGGCTTTCTTTTAATTTTACAGATTGTACATTTCTCCAAAGCAGTGGCGCGTTTTACGTGCTTTCTTTTTACTTTACAGGTTGTACATTTCTCCAAAGCAGTGGCGCGTTTTACGTGCTTTCTTTTTACTTTACAGGTTGTACATTTCTCCAAAGCAGTGGAGCGTTATACGGGCTTTCTTTTAATTTTACAGATTGTACATTTATCCAAAGCAGTGGCGCGTTTTACGTGCTTTCTTTTTACTTTACAGGTTGTACATTTCTCCAAAGCCGTGGCGCGTTATACGGGCTTTCTTTTAATTTTACAGATTGTACATTTATCCAAAGCAGTGGCGCGTTTTACGTGCTTTCTTTTTACTTTACAGGTTGTACATTTCTCCAAAGCAATGGCGCGTTTTACGTGCTTTGTTTTTACTTAACAGGTTGTACATTTCTCCAAAGCAGTGGCGCGTTATACGTGCTTTGTTTTTACTTAACAGGTTGGACATTTCTCCAAAGCAATGGCGCGGTAATCATGCTTTCTGTTTACTTTACAGGCTGTACATTTCTCCAAAGCAGTTGCGCGTTATACGTACTTTCTGTTTACTTTACAGGTCGTACATTTCTCCAAAGCAATGACGCGTTATACGTGCTTTCTGAAATTACAGGTTGTACATTTCTCCACAGCAGTGGCGCGTTATACGTGCTTTCCGTTTACTTAACAGGTTGTACATTTCTCCAAACCAGTGGCGCGTTATACGTGCTTTCTCTTTACTTTACAGGTTGTACATTTCACCAAAGCAATGGCGCGTTATACGGGCTTTCTGTTTACTTTACAGGGTGTACATTTCTCCAAAGCAATAGCGCGTTATACATGCTTTCTGTTTACTTTACAGGGTGTACATTTCTCCAAAGCAATGACGCGTTATACGTGCTTTCTGTTTCCTTTACAGGTTGTACATTTCTGCAAAGCAGTGGCGCGTTATACGGGCTTTCTTTTAATTTTACAGATTGTACATTTCTCCAAAGCAGAGGCGCGTTATACGTGCTTTCTCTTTACTTTACAGGTTGTACATGTCTCCAAAGCAATGGCGCGTTTTACGTGCTTTGTTTTTACTTTACGGGTTGTACATTTCTCCCAAGCAGTGGCGCGCTATACGGGCTTTCTTTTAATTTTACAGATTGTACATTTCTCCAAAGCAGAGGCGCGTTATACGTGCTTTCTCTTAACTTTACAGGTTGTACATTTCTGCAAAGCAGTGGCGCGTTATACGTGCTTTGTTTTTACTTAACAGGTTGTACATTTCTCCAAACAGTGGCGCGTTATACGTGCTTTCCGTTTACTTAACAGGTTGTACATTTCTCCAAAGAAATGGCGCGTTATACGTGCGTTCTGCACAGTTCAACAGGTATGTGAAAATAGAATGGTTACCGCAAATTTCACCCCAATGATAAATCATAAATAAAAGTCCAACTTTGGCAACGGTATTAGTTTAACCCTATTTTATTCATATCAATAAACATGTACAATTACATAGACATTTCATTCAGATGATATTGACGCGCGTTAATCATGCTTTCTGTTTTCTTTACAGGTTGTATATTTCTCCAAAGCAATGGCGCGGTAATCATGCTTTCTGTTTACTTTACAGGGTGTACATTTCTCCAAAGCAATTGAGCGTTAATCATGCTTTCTGTTTACTTTACAGGGTGTACATTTCTCCAAAGCAGTTGCGCGTTATACGTGCTTTCTGAAATTACAGGTTGTACATTTCTCCAAACCAGTGGCGCGTTATACGTGCTTTTTGTTTACTTTACAGGTTGTACCTTTCTCCAAAGCAATGGCGCGGTAATCATGCTTTCTGTTTACTTTACAGGTTATACCTTTCTCCAAAGCAATGGCGCGTCAATCATGCTTTCTGTTTACTTTACAGGCTGTACATTTCTCCAAAGCAGTGTCGCGTTATACGTGCTTTCTGTCTACTTTACAGGTTGTACATTTCACCAAAGCAATGGCGCGTTATACGGGCTTTCTTTTAATTTTACAGATTGTACATTTCTCCAAAGCAGAGGCGCGTTATACGTGCTTTCTTTTTACTTTACAGGTTGTACATTTCTACAAAGCAATGGCGCGTTATACATGCTTTCTGTTTACTTTACAGGCTGTACATTTCTCCAAAGCAGTGGCGCTTTATACGTGCTTTGTTTTTACTTAACAGGTTGGACATTTCTCCAAAGCAGTGGCGCATTATACGTGCTTTCTGTTTACTTTAAAGGTTGTACATTTCTCCAAAGTAGTGGCGCGTTATACGTGCTTTGTTTTTACTTTACAGGTTGTACATTTCTCAAAAGCAGTGGCGCGTTATACGGGCTTTCTTTTAATTTTACAGATTGTACATTTCTCCAAAGCAGTTGCGCGTTATACGTGCTTTCTGAAATTACAGGTTGTACATTTCACCAAAGCAATGGCGCATTTTACGTGCTTTCTGTTTCCTTTACAGGTTGTACATTTCTACAAAGCAATGGCGCGTTATACATGCTTTCTGTTTACTTTACAGGTGGTACATTTCTCCAAAGCAGTGGCGCATTATACGTGCTTTCTGTTTACTTAACAGGTTGGACATTTCTCCAAAGCAATGGCGAGTTATACGTGCGTTCTGCACAGTTCAACGAGTATCTGAAAATAGAATGGTTACCGATAATTTCACCCCAATGATAAATCATAAATAACAATGGCGCGTTATACGTGCTTCCTGTTTACTTTACAGGTTGTATATTTCTCCAAAGCAATGGCGCTTTATACCTGCTTTGTTTTTACTTTACAGGGTGTACATTTCTCCAAAGCAGTGTCGCGTTATACGTGCTTTCTGTTCACTTTACAGGTTGTACATTTCACCAAAGCAATGGCGCGTTATACATGCTTTCTGTTTACTTTACAGGGTGTACATTTCTCCAAAGCAGTTGCGCGTTATACGTGCTTTCTGTTCACTTTACAGGTTGTACATTTCACCAAAGCAATGGCGCGTTATATGTGCTTTCTGTTTACTTTACAGGGTGTACATTTCTCCAAAGCAGTGGCGCATTATACGTGCTTTCTGTTTACCTTACAGGTTGTACATTTCTCCAGACCAGTGGCGCGTTATACGTGCTTTGTTTTTACTTAACAGGTTGTACATTTCTCCAAGGCAATGGCGCGTTATACGTGCGTTCTGCACAGTTCAACGAGTATCTGAAAATAGAATGGTTACCGATAATTTCACCCCAATGATAAATCATAAATAACAATGGCGCGTTATACGTGCTTTGTTTTTACTTAACAGGTTGGACATTTCTCCAAAGCAGTGGCGCTTTATACGTGCTTTGTTTTTACTTAACAGGTGGTACATTTCTCCAAAGCAATGACGCGTTATACGTGCTTTCTGAAATTACAGGTTGTACATTTCTCCCAAGCAGTGGCGCGCTATACGGGCTTTCTTTTAATTTTACAGATTGTACATTTCTCCAAAGCAGTGTCGCGTTATACGTGCTTTCTGTTTAATTAACAGGTTGTACATTTCTCCAACACAATGGCGCGTTATACGTGCTTTGTTTTTACTTTACAGGGTGTACATTTCTCCAAAGCAGTTGCGCGTTATACGTGCTTTCTGAAATTACAGGTTGTACATTTCACCAAAGCAATGGCGCGTTATACGTGTTTTCTGTTTACTTTACAGGTTGTACATTTCTCCAAAGCAATGGCGCGTTATACGTGCGTTCTGCACAGTTCAACAAGTATCTGAAAATAGAATGGTTACCGCGAATTTCACCCCAATGATAAATCATAAATAAAAGTCCAACTTTGGCAACGGTATTAGTTTAACCATATTTTATTCATATCAATAAACATGTACAATTACATAGACATTTCATTCAGATGATATTGACAAGGCAACGGTATTGAGATACATAACTTAGAAACTTTGAACTTGAGTAATTAGAATGAAAACTAATTAATTTAGTCTGATATAAGCCATGCCTTGATAAAGATATTTAACCGACGTTATAATAAAAAGAAATGTCAATCTCTTTATTAACCAGGCTGAATGCGAAGAAATGACGCATTATCTAGGCTTCATTTATACTGCTGTGTCATGCGGAGCTTGATCGCTCCCTTTTCGAGCTGTTATGACACATATCGGCTCCAGATCAATTAAATAATTATTCACTACATATTAAGCAGCATGTTAATTTTCTACTTTCAATTATTCTAAATACTCTGAATCAATATAGTTCTGGTATACGATGATCTGCTGGGGTTTCAGAAAGGATATATTCTAGTGTTCAATCCCCTATGTCACGGTTTAACATATAATACGGAAATTCTATCCACCTATTTCCAAATAAGGAAATTTTCTTCGAATGACTTGAACTTAATTGAGATTTACTTTTCAACAAATATATTAAATAATGAAACAAAAAATAAAGATTTAAGTCGGTAGAATTATTCTCTAGTTGAATATCATTGTATACACTTTTATCATTGAACGACTTTTAATCAAATTTACCGGTCATCATCAATTCATAAACATGCATATGATTATTACCCACTTGCTTAGAGTAGACGTTTTGCCGTCACATTACAAAACGAAGACAGGTTGTTCAAGGTATGATTTATCGATGAAATGTATAAACATCAATGTAATCAGTACAGGGGTCTTTGGTAACAGCCAGAAGTTCTCGCACACAAAAGTTATTTCTGAAAGAACACAAACAAAATGTATCCAGTAAAAATCAATATTGAATAATAAGGTTTAAACTGTAATGCAATCGAATAGAAGTTAATTTGCTGATTCCATGATGGAGTTCAGGAAAATGTACCTTGCCTTCTATATAATTGATAGTGTAGAGAAAATAACAATAAATTCGATAACCAGAATAAAAAGAAACGTGGATTAAAAATATGTATTTGGGATATACATTGTAGTAATATCGAGGTGAATATATAATTATAATAAAATAATATATATGTAAAAGCAATAGGTTATCTGATAAAGTACAACATTGACTAGAAGGACCAGATAGAAGGATAAACCATCCTGTCGGCTCGTTAATTATATCCGCTACTTTAATCATTCAACAACTGGTTTATATCAGAATTGCCTGCCTTCACAATTTTAAAAGCATAATGTTATTCAGAACACACTGTTCAACGTTTACTCACTATGAAAATCCATTTCCAGTTTTTTGGCGCCTATCCGGTATTGTTGATCAGCATGGGAAGAAGTACTAGAGCTCCCACTACAGGACGAGACATAAAGAAACCGTCACTTAATCACAAAATACGTGTATGCACTGATACACAGTCAAACGTGATTACATAGACATTCTGTTTGAGAAATTAAAATATTTTAATAATATAAGAATTTGAGAAACATGTTTGAGATATGAAGTATGCATAGCTAGGTTGTAGTAGAAGATTAGTGCTACTTAAGCCAGAGGGTAGTTATAGACATTTAAGACAATGAATCACGAAATAAACATTGATTCAGCTTTTGTCTGGTGAATTCATCATGCTTTGGACAATAAAAAGATATAGACAGATATAGACAAAGCCTTTACATGGTTATGAGTAAGAGTCGATGCTATCTAAACCTTTTACTGTTATTTAAGATTTTATAGCATTACGCCTTTTACTGTGTTACACTTACGGAGGAGAGTATCATCGCCACCATCGTATAGTTATTGGCTGCCGCAGCGGCACCAGGAGGGGCACCAACAGGAACACCATAGGGGATGTACAGTGCTGTGTTTCCTCCGTATCCTTTTCCATATCCGCCACCGTATCCTTTTCCATATCCGCCACCGTATCCTTTTCCATATCCGCCACCGTATCCTTTTCCATATCCGCCACCGTATCCTTTTCCATATCCGCCACCGTATCCTTTTCCATATCCGCCACCGTATCCTTTTCCATATCCGCCACCGTATCCTTTTCCATATCCGCCACCGTATCCTTTTCCATATCCGCCACAAACGCCTCCGTACTTTTTTTCCATATCCGCCATATCCGCCTCCGTACCTCTTTCCATACCCCCCATATCCGCCGTAACCTCCATGGCCGCCATACATTCCCATTTCACCACTGGACATATCATATCCCTCTCCTCCATATTCCCCATATCCACCAATCACATATCCATCATGTCTATATCCTCCCCCATACCCGCCGCCAAGACTGCAACTCAGGGACACCAGAAAGGTTTAGATCGGCAGAGTAAGTGTACCAAAATGCATGGTGCCTGCGTTAATTTTTTTTATTCAGATGAAGTAAAAACCCATTTTCTACAAATTAGAAGTAAGGAAGCGCCTATTCAAATTTCAGTTTGTCGGTACAGAGTATCAAATAAAAAGTTGTTTTGATTTTAAATGCGTTGGTAACCTTCTAAGATGCATCTATTTGTAAGTTTAAATCAATTGCATATTGTTGTTGTCAAAGAAAAAACAAAATAAATAAAAAGATAAAAAATGTTAAAACATTAGGAAAGCACTGTTGAAAATCATATACCTTTACTTATACTATGCGTAACTTACCTTTTCACCTGATCTGGCTGAATGCGAAGTATACGGGTAGATATATACTACAAACCTTCACCTGAACTCCGGGTTGTCCTTTCCTATCTTCCTCGATTACAAACTGTTATGCCATTGTTTAATTAATCTGTTATTCTGTAAACATGTACATGCAATGTAAATTTTAAATTTCCATATACGTGTATGCGTAATCGTAAGTTGACAATGCGCGCAAACAACAAGTCTCCGAAAAAGATACAATGTTGTACACTGCTTTTGATATCAAGGACGACACTGACCTCAAACGTTCTATCAACCAATCGACGAGCCAGATACAGTGAGTGACACGCTGAAACAACAGTTCGGTTTGTAGGCGTGTTCTTTTTGAACACGGCTTGTTGACGCCGTAACGATTTTGATTGTATTGTGTTCTGTTTGTAGTGGGACCATGTTTCCAATGGTATACTTTATAGTGCCACCTCATTTGAATGTTACAGCACATATACAGCAACACCTATCCCAGACCATTTTATACTCCACCTGGGTTGTCACTTTCTCTGAATAGTCCATGCGTACGACGACTTCGGGGATCGAAGCCGCCGCTTGGAATGCCGGAGATGTGTTGGCAGGAGAAAAGCACTTTCTCTGAACAGTCCATGCGTACGACGACTTCGGGGATCGAAGCCGCCTGTTTGGAAGGCCGCTAGACCAACCCGCCCATGAATTATGTCATATGCTGATATGAAAACAACCTTCTCTAAAAGGGAAAAGAGAAACTAAGTTGCTTTATACATTGAAATCAAGTCACAATGTTTTTAGTTATACCTGTAATCAGTTTGTAATACGTATAGTTATATAATCATTTCAATTTTGTTTCAATATTCGAAAAATTAATGCAACTGTGACATCCGGTATCGTCCGCATTGTCTTCATTATTTCACTCCCAATAATTATATTATATACATGTATGATAATTATAACATGTTAAATGACCTTGTTCTAAATTAATGTCACCAAATTGTTTCTGATAACAATACCTAACTTATACCTGTAGCATCGAAATACACAAACAAACGAAATGTTTTTGTTTTGTTTCAAACATTAAGCCAGGTGGTGATGTTGATATGTTTTTATCATATATCATCACATTTTCATGCCAGTATCGGTAGTTATCATTATCAATTCTAAAACACATGCTATCAGAAACACCGAAATGGCATCATTGCAAATCATGATGATACATTGGGTACTACGTTTCTAGTTTCCAAGGAACCTTACATCAATAAACCTAAAAAAAGGAAAATTTGTGTGGAGAGCGGTCGATTTGTTTATTTAAGTGTGTACTGAATTTGTTGGCTGCTGGTTGTGGTAACATAGCCAGATTGAAGTTGGAAATACTTATGAAAAGATAGCTTTTATAATCTACGTGTCACGCGACGCTATTTATGTGTATGTGATTTTGAGAAACATACTCTTCAAAAGTAATGCTATTTTGGAGAAGAAATTTAATTCTAACCTCTCTCTAACTCGAAGTGTTCATGTTGGGTTTATCCTCCTGTCTTAGACAAAAATATAAATCGTCCTTCTCAGGGTAGATTTAGACCCGTTAAAAAGCTAACATGGACATGATACACGTAGTATTTGCTTTCTATTTATTGAGTCACGTTCCTGTTATAAAACAGTGGCTGGTAAATATTCATGAAAAAGGAACAAGCATTATGGGAAATGATATTATGAATAATAGACATCAAATTCAACAAGTCTCAAAAATATGATCACCGTTATTTTCAACACTATTAAAAGACATGCTAAGTATCCCAGTTTAACATCGATGTTAATATATAAAATTATAAAATATTTACTTGAACATGAACTATAATAGTTATTCAAATGATATATAGTGTTAATGTTGTTTAGTTTGAATTAAGCTAGGCATGTATTTTATATTCATATAAAGTATAACCAATTGTCGTGCAAAATACAAACCAAAACACTGGGGGCAACTAGATGAAAATGATGAATTGTTATACTTTGTGATGACTACTATTACGTAATGTTGAAGACAGGAAAGCTGCGAGATGCTGCAAATGGGATACTGATCGTTTGAAATAATGTTTTTCTGTTGACCACAAAACATGGCAAAATGTTTCATATTGACTTCATCCCAAACATCATTAAATATGTATAATATTCATTACTCTTTAGCCCAGCGTATACCAGTTGATGAATTAAAAAATATGTCATGCATTTCAAAATACTTTTAAACAAATGAAAGAAACGCTTAAGCAGTGACTGGTTATGAGTTATAGAGATGCTACAGCAAACTGATTCTATTGTTTGTTAACGTTGCGTGACTTAGGTGCACAGACAGGTTGGATACAATCGTCAAGTAAAATGTTTACTGCATTTATATTTTAAGTCTTTAATCATTTCAAGTGATGTAGGATAAGACTGTTAAAATCTCCTAGCACACATAGGATTTAAGAAAAAAGTATTAAAATGACTGTAGAATCATTCACTGATATCCTTTCATTACGTAAAAATGCTTTCAATGTTATATTTATACACTTTCTATGTACAATATGGACACGTTAGACATTGTATTATAAATCATATAAGTTTTATGAATGAAATGCCGAATAATTGCTGTATATCTACTACAGTTTATATGCTTCACTATATTTTGGGTCCGTAGAGGTCAATACCTCCAGAGCAATCACATGGTCAACTGCAATACTGCCAGTCAAATGTTATGCCAGCAACTTTAATACAAAAAAATAAATAAAAAATATCCAATTGTTTTAATTCTTCAGCAGTAGTTGGGAAAGGTATTGCCAGGGTTGAAGGGCCCTGGATTCAATCCCCGAACAATGATTGCACTCAACGTAGGAGGGTTTTCGTTCGCCATACATAATGTAGATACCTCTTTCACTGTATTAATTTCTTTCATATAATTTAATGGTATTCCCCTGGCTTCTATTTCAAATCGTATGACTGATAATACTGATAATAAGCAAAAGTTATCATCATCATCATCATCATCATCATCATCATCGCATCCATACACAATCGTGGTCGATTAGTATTACTTGGCGTTCTGAATGTGTCTTCCTCAACGAGTTGCCTATTAAAGTATGTAAGTGTTACCTGTGTTGGTTTGTGTTCTTTTTGTATTATTTTGTCATATGTTGGACGTCTGGAATCTATTGGTTGTACGTTTTCCACGATGATAATGTTTGTTGTACCGAGGAGTTGCAGGGGTAACGAGCCCCTATGATACATGATTGAGGTACTGTGTTGTGTTTCCTAAGTGTAATCGCGTTGACAATCGCTTGTAATGTATCAGGATTTATTTATGTTGCTGCTAATCTGCATTTGGAAAGTATTATGTAGTATGTATGTATCTGAAATGCTGAAAAGTGGGTCTGGTTTTTTTTGCTGATACTTAATTATGTTACGTTCTTTCCATATTGTCCATTTGATTGTGATTATTATCCATAAACTGGATAACTACGGCATCAGAGGAAACCTCCACAACTCGCTCTCCAATTTCCTGAGACAAAGAAATATGAGAGTAGCACTAGAGGGAGAAACATCCAGAGAAGTAACCGTTGACTCCGGGGTACCACAAGGGACAGTGCTCGGGCCACTACTATTTCTTTGCCATATAAATGACATACCAGAAAGTGTAACCTCTAGCGCACGTCTGTTCGCCGACGACTGTTTGATATACAGACAAATAAACCAATATAGTGACAACCAACTACTAGAGGACGACCTAAACAACCTGGAAAAATGGGCTAACTTATGGGGAATGAAATTCAACACCAAAAAATGCTACGTAATAAACATCAAAGAAAAAAGTCACAGATTCTACACCCTAAATGGACATATCTTGGAACAAGTGAAAAATAATCCTTACCTTGGGCTAACAATTTCAGACGACCTTAAGTGGAACACCCACATACTAAAAATATCAAGAAGAGCCAGTTCGACGACTGGCTTTCTCAAAGGAAATCTAAAACATTGCCCATCGTCTTGCAAGAAAACAGCATATATATCCCTAGTACGATACATCCTTGAATACGGCGCCATTATTTGGGACCCATATACCAAAAACGAAATTGACAAACTGGAGAGAATACAGCGCTTGGCAGCCAGGTTCATTTTAAGTGACTATAACTCAGGGAAAGATGGATGTATCACAAGGATGCTGGAGAACCTGGAACTACCAACACTCCAGATCAGGCGAGCGTAACAGAGGGTCACATTTATGTATAAGGTGGTTGAGGGGTTGATACCAGCTATACCTCCAGCTGATCATCTAACAAAAAACCAGACTAAAAAGGAACATCAAGGCCAGAAACTTCTCGGACTATATATCGAATAATGTGTTAAAAACATCAATGATAAACAACTCTAAATCCAACACAGTACCAAAGTTTAGCTGTGATCAATGCAATAACTCGGTTTTTTTGTACGTACTGTCATAGAGTGGAACTATCTGGAAGAGGACTTAGTATGTGCCCCTACTTTGGAAGCCTTTAAGAGTGCTATAACACACCATAACTCTAACTGAACTGCTCTCTCTCTCTCTCTCTCTCTCTCTCTCTCTCTCTCTCTCTCTCTCTCTCATTGTATAAAAACCGGAACCGAAAACTACAACGTAAAGATACAGATACATGATGTGTTGATAATTTTACGTAAGTCATCTACAAGTTCTTCTAGTTCTCCTAGCATCTTTTTCTCCTCGTTCAGTGTAATTCTTATCCCTGGTAATTCATCAATCATATGGTGTTGTGTCAGTTGTATCAGTTCTCTTGTAAAGTCACAATGATAAAATAGGTGGTCTAATGTTTCTGTTTCTCTGCTACACAAATGGCACTTACCATTAAACCTGTTCATCTGTTGGAGATTTTGTTCTGTGTATATAATTCTGTGTAAGCATTTCCATTGCAACTCTTTCATTTTTAAGGGAATTTCTATATTGTGTACTTGATCCCAAATATTGTACCATTCAATTTCCTTTTGAAAATGAATTTCCCATTTTTCTTCTGATTTAAGTTTTACATTTGTTGTCAAGATTCTTTGAACTGTGTTCTCTTTCAATTGCATGGGTTTTGTTGTGGAAAATGTACCATCTTTTAAATATCCTAAACTTAAATCCTCGTTTAATATATAATATCTTTAGTTTTGTTGGCTGATTGTGTTTGTTATTTAAGTATTAAGAGAAATCTCTGAGGGATTGCTTTTATTTTATTTTAGTGAATTCAGCTATCCAGTTTTGTTTGTGGGTCAGTGTATTTAACAATGGATTATTATCTATGAATTTGTTATGTTTACTGTCCCATATTTCCTAAATTTTGTTTATTCAACTTTTTGCACATGACAGTAAAGTAAGGGGTTTTCTGTTTAATTGTATGTTAATATTGCCCAGTAATTTCTGGTTAAGAATTTGTTGCAGTGTGAGATTCAGCATTTTTACTTGTAGTTTGGCCCAACGAATAGACCATTTCTATAAAATTAAGGTATTTTTGTAAGGTCTAGTCCACTAAGGTCTTAACATCTATATAAATAGTTATGCATGTTATATTTGTTGTCAAACTGTTGTATGTAAAATCTACCTTTACAGTTCCAGCTCTGTGGTGTTGAGTGTATACTTTTATATATTGTTTTAATGTATTTAGTATCTATGAAAGTTTCTAAGTATACCATCGTCATTTCTCCTGTATTCGTATCATTGCAAACTACTTTCCTCTCTATATGGTTATTTTTGTGTACCTCATATGTAATTCCCGATCAGTGTATTAATTTCTTTCATATAATTTAATTGTATTCCCCTGGCTTCTATTTCAAATCGTATTGCTGATAATACTAATGATCTGTTGCCAGCAACCTAAAACTCCTTCCGAAGCGGCATGTAGGAAATTGAGACGGAAACTTATGTAAGGTAATATGTTCGATGGTTACTATGGTCGTAACTGAACATCAACATCGTTGTTGACTGAGTGGTTTGAAACATATGCTTAATCATTTTTAAAGTAAGCAAAGGTTAATTACAGTAAAGCAATATTAAGTTTTGGCAAAAATTGTCAGAAGGTAACTTTACAATTTAATAAAACATTTTGATGCAGTATGGTCATCGAATATACGAAGGAATTGTATTTTTTAAATTAAAAACAAATCGTTTTGACATCTTTTGCTTGTGCTGGAATTAAATGTCGTTTATTTCGATTTCATCAAATTCTTCATCAGTTACACAGTTACAGGAAATAAATGCATAATTGCATGATAAGATAGCTATTGCTATACCAAGGATTTGTTAATGGAGACACTTGAGTTAAGACTTTGGTGGCTGTATTATAAAATAGCAATGAAACACACAGATAGTGGTGCATTTATTGTTAGATTGCTTAAATCCAATATTCTTCTAATTTGTAACAATTTCTCTTTTAATTAAAACCAAAACAAATTGTGCCTCGTCATCAAAAAATAGCAATGTTTAAAAACCTCAAACTGTTTAATTTATTGATTCTTGATCTATTTAAAGTAATGCAGCCAAAATTGTAGTATACATTATAAGTAAACAATCTGACGAGGTCGTACATTTATTTCTATTGCGCTATACCCGCGGAATAATACCAAAAGCAATTGAATCACTCTGTGCGGCACCATTGAAACAGCAAGAAATAGACTTAAGTTTTCCAGAGATACAAGGTTCATTAATCACGAGAGACATTTATCTTAAGTAGAAATTTAAAGGTGTTTAATTCATTATGATGTCATAGCTAGAATTACATACCAGTAGGTGCACCTTAACACAAGTCAACGTGGACTGATTTAATCGCTAGAAATACGAAGCAAGAAAGCAGCTTTTTGAAAATCTAAAACGTCGATTTAAAAACAACCGAAGGTAACTTGTTACTGCACCATATGTGTTTGTCCATTTCATGAAAGACGCCGAATGACGTGAAATAATTAATAGATCACGAGGTAAGGAAGCGCCTACTGAATAGGACGTCAATACAGAAAGACATTCACTATGATGACAATGGTCGTCTTATGACTCATCACTGAAACTAAATACTGAACTAAATTCTAAGTTTGTTTTGAACAAAACTCTATTTTAGAACGGTTTAGAGTCGAGACACCGGTTACTGATTGCTTGACAAAGACAACAGACGGTTTTGAAAGCCCTCAAACAAGTGTTTAATTACTTTTTTTGTGTCTAAAACGAACTAAGCGTTTATCATTTTTACCAAATTGATTAATTTTATTCCTGATATTACAAGGTTGAAAACAATGAAATAAAATGTGTAATATATACGTACGATATGTAGAAATACAAAAAGGAGACGGTGCCTCTAACACCTTTCAAAACTTTTTTTTAATTGACGATTTGTAAGTTTTAACAGGAAATGTATGACCATATTTCAAGAGAAATATTTGTTTTATCTACATTTAAAATGTATACCTAGGTATACACCTGTTTCACTATCCCAATACTTGGTATTTATTGCAACTGAAAAGAAAAAATTGGAGTCCGGGTATGGTATTTTCATTCAGGCATAAGGCAAGACTAGTTTATGGTGTCAGCCTACCATGTAGATCTACACAGACGTCGTACCAGTTACACAAGGCTTCCAACTTTGATCGATGGACCATTACCTGTTGTTATGCGATGTTGTAATTACATGGGCATGTTTCCTGGGTTGATCAGTAAGTTCACCAAAGATAGAGCGTATAAATACCGGCCCATTTCTTTTAGATATTTTATCCTCTCCACATCGGCGCATATGAACAGGTAAGCAAGATTTATATGAAAACGTAATGATCTGATGGAACGTTTGTAGCCTAGTCTTTAAGTGACTGGTATTGATTAATATGCTAGTTAGTACATAACAAGGGACATGTATTGCTTACATTTTGTTTTTGCTTCTATCGTTATCGACAGAAAGGTGAGTTAAGTATAAATATGTATATTTGAGGAAGTAAGACAAAATAATGTTGTTTTCTTAATGATTATAATAGTTAAAACTCTGTTCCTTACATCATGCCGGTTTTATCTTTATTTTATGTCTTTTTTTAATATTTGATAAATGCATTTGTTTTACAGAGGAATTCATGTTTTTAAAATATTATTACTATCAACATCAAACCAGCATACACATTTTAATAATGCTTGTGAATTTTCAACCTCAACTTCAGGATCAACATGAACTATCTTACCTTTGCCCTTTCGACCTTCGCCTTTCTCGTGACCCTTGACTGCTGTCTTGGGAACGGTTATGGTGGCTATGGTGGATATGGAGGGGGATATGACATGTATGGAGGCTATGGAGGTTACGGCGGATACGGAGGGGGATACGGCGGGTCCGGAGGGGGATATGGCCAGGGATATGGAAAAGGATATGGAGGGGGATATGGACAAGGATACGGTGGGGGATATGGACATGGATACGGCGGGAAAGGTTATGGCATGCCCCAACAGGCATTGTACATCCCCTATCCTATGCCAGTAGGTCCCGCTCCAGGTGCTGTCGCGGGAGCCTACGCAGCCGGAGATGACAATTCCCTCCTTCTGTGTGAGTATTATATCTAATATTTAAAATCTCCAAAAGTTCATATATTAACATAGGTCGAAAGTATTTGCAAATAAGAAACCATAAATCAATATAATTTGATAAAGTACCTTCAAATAATGTTATTTACTTGTATACGATTTCTTTCAGTTGGAGGTGCCGCCTTGCTTCTGCTGCTGTTGAGTAACAACAATATTGGATAAGTCACCACTTAAATCTCGATCTACAACGGGTATGTATGCTTAGAAATTAGTAATCGTTACAATGCTTCTGGAATAATTTTTACAATTTTTACATTTTACAATTAGATGTTATATCAAAATCATACCTTTTTAATTACAACGCCATTTTCATTTTGTTGTTTTTTGTTTTAGATTACAGACCTGATTCTCATTTTTGTGCGCAAGACTCCTTGGCTGTAACCAAAGACCCCTGTGTGTTTCCTGTTTTACCTTATATTGGTTCTTTAATAAAGCATGGTTATTTATAAATTATTCGAGTTATCTGTTACTTCACGATTGAATTGCTGATCTTGAAAATTTGGAGATACAATAAGCTCATAGGAACGTTTAAAGCGTAACTTGCAATGTATTTGGTACACACAATTGTTTGACCATTTTACATGGTATCTGGCTTTATAACAATTCCATACAAGAAGCTAATTAACAAAATAATCAAAAATAACAACAACAACAACAACAAGAAAAAACAACAAAAAAAACCCCCAAAAAAACACATAATATTAAGTTTATCAGTTTTACTGTCATGATCATTGTTATACCGATAAATATTTGTTGAGTTCAAATTAATCTTATCCGAGAAAATAAGATAACTATTAATGTGATGTAATAACATTTGTTTCCACCTTGCTGTTATTTCTACAGCAAATCTTGTTATTTACTTTGTCAATTGGTGAACATATAACGACTATTGATAAAGTATAGGTGTCTCATATTGAAGTTAATGTGCACTATCATCAGAAACAATAGTTGAAATATTATTGACAGAGAAGAAATTAAGAGAACTTCACCAAAGAGTTATCATGAGCTGGTCTGAAATATTGCATTGAAGCCTTATTTTATCCTCTTATGCACTTAATTCGGACAATGCGTGTTAAATGTAATTGTGTTTCGATATTTTTAAATAAGCATGTGACAAACCCCTACGACAATAAAGATTGCAAATGAAAATTGATTCCCTACTGGACTAACAATTTCAGACGACCTCAAGTGGAACACCCACATACTAAAACTATCAAGAAAAGACAGCTCGATCCTTTGCTTTCTCAAAAGAAATCTAAAACATTGCCCATCGTCTTGCAAGAAAACAGCATATATATCCCTAGTACGATACATCCTTGAATACGGCGTTATTATTTGGGACCCATATACCAAAAACGAAAATGACAAACTGGAGAAAATACAGCGCTTGGCAGCCAGGTTCATTATAAGTGACTATAAATCAAGGGAAGATGGATGTATCACAAGGATGCTGGAGAACCTGGAACTACCAACACTCCAGGTCAGGCGAGCACATCAGAGGGTCACATTTATGTACAAGGTGGTTGAGGGGTTGATACCAGCTATACCTCCAGCTGATCATCTAACAATATATAAAACATGTCGTAGAAACATGAGTGATAAACAGCTCTAAATCCCATACAGTACCAAAGTCAATCTGTGATCAATACAGGAACTCATTATTTGTACGTACAGTCATGGAGTGGAACCATCTGGAAGAGGACTTAGTATATGCCCCGGCCCTACTTTGGAGACCTTTAAGAGTGCTATAACGCACCAAAACTCTAACCGATTTGCTCTCTCTCTGACCCGTTGTATAAAAACTGGGCCCGGGAACTACAACGTAAAGATACAGATACATGATGTGTTGATAATTTTACGTAAGTCATCCACAAGTTCTTCTAGTTCTCCTAGAATCATTTTCTCCTCGTTCAGTGTAATTCTTATCCCTGGTAATTTATCAATTATATGATGTTGTGTCAGCTGTATCAATTCTTTTGTAAAGTCACAGTGATAAAATAGGTGGTCTAATGTTTCTGTTTCTCTGCTACACAAATGGCACTTACCATTAGACCGGTTAATTTTTGGAGTTTTTTTTGTTCTGTGTATATAATTCTGTGTAAGCATTTCCATTGCAGCTCTTTCATTTTTAAGGGAATTTCTATATTGTGTACTTGATCCCAAATAATATACCATTCAAATTCTTTTTGAAAATGAATTTTCCATTTTTCTTCTGATTTAAATTTTGCATTTGGTGTCAAGATTCTTTGGACTGCATGTGTACTCTTTCAATTGCCTGGGTTTTGTTGTGGAAATGTACCATCTTTTAAATATCCTTAACTTAAATCCTCGTTTAATATAATTAAATTTGTTTTGTTGGCTGATTGTGTTTGTTGTTTAAGTATTAGGAGAATTCTCTTAGGGATTGCTTTTTTTAATTTAGTGAATTCAGCTATCCAGTTTTTATTGAGAGTCAGTTTATTGAACAATGAATTACTACCTATGAATTTGTTATGTGTACTGTCCCATATGTCCTTAATTTTGTGTATTCCACTTTTTGCAAAAGACAGTAAAGTAAGTTCTTTTGTTAAACTGTACGTTAATATTGCCTAGTAATTTCTGGTTAAGAATTTGTTGCAGTGTGTGATTTGGCATTTTTACTTGTAGTTTGGCCCAGAAGAATAGGGAATTTCTATATAATTAAGGTATTTTTGTAAGGTCTAGTTCACTTAGGTCTTAACATTTACATAAATAGTTATGCATGTTATGTTATATTTGTTGTCAAACTCTTGTATGTAATCTAAACCTATACAGTTCTTTGGTGTTGAGTGTGTTTTTTTTAATGCATTTGGTATCTATGAAAGTTTCTAAGTATAACCTTCTCATTCCTCCTGTATTCGTATCATTGCAAACTACTTTCATCTCTATTTGGTTATTTTTTGTACCCATATGTAATTCCAGATCAGTGTATTAATTTCTTTCATATAATTTAATGGTATTCCCCTGGCTTCTACTTCAAATCGTATTACTGACAATACTGATAATAAGCAAAAGTTAATGACAGTAAAGCAATATTAAGTTTTGGCAAAAAATGTCAGAAGGTAACTTTACAATATAATAAACATTTTGATGCTGTATGGTCATCGAATATACGAAAGAATTGTATTTTTTTTATTTAAAAACAAATCGTTTTTACATCTCTTGCTTGTGCTTGAATGTAATGTCAGTTATTTCGATTTCATCAAATTCTTCATCAGTTACACAATACATGAAAAAAAATCAAGGAAATAAATGCATAATTGCACGATAAGATGTTGAAACATGATTTTATATAAGAACGAAATCTAATCCTATAAATGCACCTATAGCTATAAATAGGATTTATAAATGGAAACACCTGAGTTGAAAGCTTAGATGGCTGTATTATAAAATAGCAATGAAACACTCAGATAGGGGTGCATTTATTGTTAGATTGCTTAAGTCCAATATTCTTCTAAGGACCTGTTACAGGAACAAAAGAATTTTGCCCACAAAGCAATTTAACCATTACTGGGTTATATTTGTAGCTCCCTAAGACACGATCCATGAGATATTTCAAAAAAAATAAAAAGGTCCCCAGGGCCTGTGCTATGAACTATTTAGTGCCGCCTTCCAGAGGTGTACGACAGGGTTCACTTTTTTGTCCAAAAACTATCAAAACAATGTTTTACGCTATCAAATAATATTACATTATTTAAAGTAGGATCTGCTGCAAATTATGAACTCAAATATGTAACAAAAAATTGCATAATAAAAAAGTTATAAAACTCTAAAAATGTTGGTATTTTCATACACTTTTTTGCTACATTAATTATTTTAAGGAAGTAAAACACCAATTGCCGGTTCTTGTACACCAAAAATCTTTACATATGTTTTGATGCATTATGTTGAGATACGATAGTGAAAATTTCAGAAAATTTGAGAACCGGTAAATTTGTCATTTAAATGTAAAATTGTAGCAACGTCTATTTCCAAATAAAATCCAACAACCTTATGACCTATAGTCATGTTTGATCATTTAACAATATGTCGCACCAATTTATCATCGCAACTGATCAAATTTTCCTCACTAAGATCTTCTGCTCATGATGAGCCCAACTATAAAGCTAGATGTTGCAAAATAAAAACGTTATGCAGTCTCACACACATAAAAGTTTAGTATGTTATGTACATTTTTAGTTGTTTCGCTTCTTTACGGAAGTGATAGACATATTTTCGGTTTTTGTACACCAACATACTTTGGATATGTTTTGGCACATTATTTTGACCGACGATAGTAGAAATTTCGAAAAAAATGGTATTCGGTAAATGTGTCATCTTAAGGATAATATGTTGTATGACCAATGTCAAAATAAATCGTCAATAACTACAGGTCAATGCGATTTTGGCTTGTGGTACATATCAGCTGAAGCTGGCACCTGGCTATATCACAGAACATCAGACAGATGGGGGTGATGATGAGATATGGGTACCAGCATGCTGATGACCTTCTCCGAGGCTAAAATACAATGTCTGGATAGAGTTTGACCTACACGCATCAGAGGATCCTGTCAAGGCATACTATTGTGTGTGTCCTGCAGGAAAGAGAACATCGGGTATGGGTACTAATGTCGGATCAATACTGTATTATCTAGGATACTATGCACATTAAACAGATGCTAAACCGCTCCAGCCTTCAGATCGCAAATTCAGAGACTGCATATTATGAATGCATTCAAAAAAGAAACATTATTCAATTATAGCCTTTGGCTGAGGTCGATACCTGGATTTATCGACCCGAGGAAAGATATATTAACCGAGGACGCATTCCGAGGTCTTTTTCTCGGGTCGATAAATCCAGGTATTGACCGAAGTTAAAGGCTTCAATTGTTTTATTATTTTACAAAAGAGTAATGTAACCAATCTGAAAACAAAACAAAAAAATCTTCGGAAGTGGGACGGTGCATTGTTTGGAGACACGTCATAATTCTATTTTAAGAAACATCCAGTCCTTCAACAAAAATCATGCGCTCCAAGTCAATATTAGTTTTTATCGGTGGACACTTGATGCACTTCTGGCCAATTACTTGTGGGGAATAATATGAAAAAATAATAAGACCTAAGATTGAACTGAGAAAGGAGAAATTAAGAAAAAAAATTGAATGATCAATTTTGACTATGTGTTGTCAAATTAAAAACAACAACAGTGAATACAACAATCTATGAATTGGAAACTATAACTCTCCTAAAAAGAAACAATGTGATGGGTTAACATCTTCAACATATTATACTGGTACACCAAATGTTCTGACAAATTGCCTAACTTTTGCTGTATTCCCCCCTTGAACTACCTAGTTTAGTTAACCAGCCATACTCTACTATAAACCATATCATCCACCTTGATAGTATATTGGAATAATTTTGGGTTAATTATGAAATACTTGCATTG